TAGCCACATGTTTTAAGTGATTCCTTTATATGTGTGCGTTCCTTCTTTTTCCCTCTACATACAAAAATAAACAATAATGAACAAGAGTCTGCTTCTAGACCTGCAGAAAGAAAGAAAAAAAAAGGGACACAACAACAATAAAACAAGATCAAGCTATCACTACATCAACTTGATGAAGAAATATATAATCAACATTGTTTAACTGAATCACACGATAATAAATCACAGTGCATTAAGTGCCAACCATAGCCTTAAGACATGTGTTGAACGTGCCCAAGCCCATACTTATGAGAGCACCATGTGAGCACCTGTGTGTGTACACGCACTTGTTTATGTAAGGTTCCTCTATAGGAGCATCCAATAGAGAGTGTGAGGGACCACAGATCTGCCCCTAAAGATGTGCAGGAGACGGAGGGAGCTCCAAGTCCCAGAGATCCAGGAGCTGCCCCAGAACACAGGAACCCCAGGGAGACTGCGACCAGAAAAGCCCCCGCCCCCCTCGAGAGGCGCAGAGGATCGCCCCGGGGGCCACAACCAGCAGCCGGCAGAGTCCCAGGATATATCAGCGGCAAGTCCAGAGGCCCGCCCGCAGCCTCCCACCCCATAGTCGGCCGAGCCCGGGACCCAGCAACCCGGGACCCAGGAGCGACCACCCCCGCCGGGGACCCAGCAGAGCCCAGGGACTCAGACCCCACCAGGCAGCCACTGGGATTGGTCAGGCAGATGCCAAAAATCTGACCCGGGAGCCACGACGCAGGCAGACCAAGGCACCGTACTCCACACCAGGTGTGGCAGGGAGAGGGGAGACGAAGATCTATATCATCAAAAGAAGTCCCAGGAGAAGGGAGGAGTCAAAGGCCCCACCTGACATATACAATCATACACAAACACAGTCACACACTCCCTCCCTCATGCTCACACATGCACATACAACCCAAGACTTACAAAAATGCATGCCGGACACCCAATCATGCTCCCCATACACACCCTATTCACTCTGGTCCCGGTACTGCTGAACATGGGATACAACCATTACCGGTTCCCAGAGTTCGACCCTTTCTGCTGGGGTGCTGATGAGCAGGCTCCCCCACCCAACGCTGAGCACAGCAACCCACCACCCCAGACCCCAACCGGATGGCCGGGTCTCCCTCCTAGCCTCCAGTCCCAGGAAGCCAAGCGACAACAGAGGTGTGCTAAGACCCCTAGTCTCCCTCCGCCTGCTCCAATATGATGTTAGTATGTGTTGATGAGGTGTATTCCATCGCTGTGGTGAGCGGGCATTGTCTGGCATTTGCCAGCTGATGCCATCACACCACCTCACTTGCACCCACAGCCCTCAGTGTCTAAGTGCAGTTTAAAATTGCAAGTGGGCACCAGCACTTGGGATGAGGCTGAGAAATCCCCCTGCCAAATGCCGTTGAATGTGCTCACTCCCAATGCCCTAAGTGTGTGTTTGCGTAGAATGTCGTTGGTGGAAGTGCTAAGGGTGCAAATAAAATTGGGGGGAGGTTGCCACAGGAATGCAGAAATGGGGTCCATACCCGCACTCCCTGACTTGTCCACCCCCCAAGGTCCTATGTGCATGTTTGTGTGATGATGTGAGGGAGCAGGAGGAGAGAAATGTTTGGGGATGGGGAGGAATGGCTGATTGGGCTTAGCCCTCCAGGGAGCCAGCTCCCCCACTGGCCCCAATAGGCACCTCTGTTGTCAAACTGCCACCCAGGGCATGGAGACCCCAGCCCACCCTGCCAGGGCCCAAAGCAGCAGCATCACAGAGCCGAGGGCACCAACCCAGCCCCACCCCAGCAGAATATCTACTCTCATCCCTGCATTTGCACAATTTCCGGATTATAAAATACATAGGCCATCCAGGCAAGGTTGGGTCCTCCCCCTCCTGGACTTTCCCCTCCCCTGTGATGAGACAGCAGAGGAGCCAAGGTCTACCTGAGGCCCCTGATCCCGAGTCAGGCATTGCTGCATGTTCCTGCCTTCTCCCCGGCAGCATACATGTCAGGACCCGACCCCCAAGGCCCCGCCCAGATCCCCCCACGGGGCCGGCCACCTCACACCCCGAGCCCCCAGGCCCCCACCTAGGGGCAATGCAGCTGCCAGGCAGTGACCCATGGCCACCGCCAAGACCTGCAAGGGGCCCCACTCACAACCGCCAGTAGTCCACCCCCCGAGGCAACCCAAGCAACTCCAGAGGGGGGCAAAGGCCCCCTAGTCCCAGACACCCCCAGTGAACTCACCTCCAGGGAACGTCCAGATCCTCCAAACTCAGATCCTCCACCCCCTCACCCACATCATCCTGCATGACAATATCAGTGGTCCCCCGTCATCGCTATGTGATGGAACCGATCAAAGGAGCCCAGAGCGATTCATCTGAAGTGGAAGCAGAGGCTATATCAAGTGCAATATGATCTAACAAAAGATTTCTATACTGGTTAATGCAGAGAGTTTCTCTATTTTTCCAATTCAAGATGATAGTTTTCTTAGCGATGCATATGGCAGTCAGAACCACGTGAACCACAGATGTTTCAATCGGGACATCGTCCAGGTTTCCCAGTAAACAAAGAGAGGGGGAAGTTGGGATGTGACATTTCAGACATTTTGACAGATCCTCACATACTCTACCCCAAAATTCCTGGACAGGTGGACAGGACCACAGTGCATGAATGTAATTGTCAGGAATGTTGTTTGTGCAGTGTGTACAGGTGTCAGACGACACAAACCCCATCTTGAACATCCGATGACCTGTATAGTGTACTCTGTGTAGAATTTTGTACTGAATTAATTGTAAATTGGAGTGTCTGATCATTTTAAAAGTTTTTAAACAAGTTTGGGACCAGAAGTCCTGGTCAAAGCTGACTGATAGATCCACCTCCCATTTTTCAATAGGGATTACTATTCTATCGTCTATTTTGGACAGTGTCTTATATACTTTAGACAGTAGTTTGGGGGGTTTGAGATTATAGAAGTCTAATACCCTTGGTGGTGTTTGTAATTCTATTTTATTGAGCTTAAATTTTTGTTTGACTACAGATTTAATTTGGTGATATTCTAAAAAGCTATTCTTATCCATTCCAAATTGGGAGACTATTCTATTAAATGGGATGAAGTCCAGTTCTTCATATATGTGTTCCAGGTATAGGATTCCTTTATTTTTCCAGTCCGGAAGGTTCATCATTTGGTTATTTTGCAAAATGTGAGGATTATTCCAGATAGGTGTGCGTCTGCATGGTACTAGTGAAGACTGTCATTTTTAGATACTCCCACCAAGCTGTCAGAGAGGTGCTGATACTAATACTTTTGAAGCTTTCATGTTTTCTTATGCTTGAGCTAATAAATGGTAAGTCTGAAAGCTCTATCGTATTGCAAAGTGTCTGTTCTATATCTAACCAAGACTCATCTAGTGGGTTATCTTGCAACCATCTTGGTATATATTGCAGCCTGTTGGCTAAGAAATAATAATAAAAGTTGGGTAAATCCAGTCCTCCTCTGTCTTTGGTCTTCTGAAGCGTTTTTAAGCTAATTCGTGGAGGTTTATCCTGCCAAAGGAATTTGGTAATTGAGGAGTCCAGAGATTTAAACCAGTCAGCTGGAGGTTTGTTTGGGATCATCGAGAATAAGTAATTTATTCTGGGTAAGACCATCATTTTAATACTACTACTATTACCACATATACTACTACTACTACTACAAATACTACTAGTACTGCCAACAATACTACTACTACTACTACCAACAATACTACTACTACTACCAATATTACTACTACTATTACTACTACTACTACTACTACTACCAACAATACTACTACTACCAACAATATTACTGCTACTATCAACAATAATACTTCTAACAATACTACAAACTACTAATACTAACAATACAGCTACTACTATTACTACTAACAGTACTACCAATACTGCTATCAATACTACTGCTACTACTAATACTATTTCTTCTACTAATATTACATTTACTACCCGCACACGCTGACCTTTTGCTGCTGTTCACGCCGCGGATGCGATTCAAATCGCGGGGTGAACGAGCATTTGTCTATGCTGCCCTAAAGCTATGGAACTCATTGCCCATTGGAGTTTGGCAGGCTCCATCTCTGGCGGTTTTTAAATCTCGTTTAAGGACAGTGACTCGTTTTAGTGTTTTATTGTATCATTGTTTTAATGTGTTCTTAGTATTCACCATGTCTTGTCTGCTTTTGATTGGGATTTTTATCCTCTGTTTTAGTTCTTTCAAATGGTTGTGTTTTGTTTTAGCCTGTGCAGCACTTTGGGCAGCTCCCATGCTGCGTTTTAATTGTGCTATATAAATAAACTATGTTATGCTATGCTAACTATACTACTACTACTACTACTATTACTACCACCAATACTACTACTGCTACTACTACTACTACTCCTACCACCAGTACAACTACTATTACAACTAACAATACTACTACTACTACTACTACAACTAACAATACAACAACTACTAATAATAATAATACTGCAACTACTACTACTACTACTAATATTATTATTATTATTATTATTATTATTATTATTATTATTATTATTATAACAATACCACTTCTACTGTTACTACTACTATTAACACATTTCATTCTTGGTTCCTTTGTAAAAGGCCAACAAACAAGAAAACAACAGTTATCCATGCTTTCGTTCTTTTTTAAACACAGAAACAGTTTTGTTTACCTGTTTGTAGCTACAGTTTCGCCGACGGGTTAGGGTTAGGGTTAGGGGTTTGTAGCTACAAACAGGTAAACAAAACTGTTTCTGTGTTTAAAAAATAACGAAAGCATGGATTTAGAAAGACACAGCAAGAACACACCTAAGATGTTCAAACAACAGTTATAGTAATGGAAGTAGACTAAATGGGAGTATATACTGTCACAATGTTTAGCTCATTCAACCAGCGGGCGGTCGGTCTCCAGCCTTCACCCAGAGATGTGTATGCTCTTGTTCCTGCTCCAGGTGTGGACCTTGTGCTAAATTCTCTGGCTGAGGAGAAGCTACAGGCTAGTGTTCGCTGTGTAGCCAGACATGGACGATTCCTGGAAATTGGCAAATACGACCTCTCCAACAACTCCTCACTTGGTCAGTAGGAACCTCATGGTGTTTGTCACTCTCACCAAATACACACACACACACACACGCATGCATGCACGCACACACACACACACACAAGCACAGCAGTGCTATGTCTTGTTGGTTTTCCTCAGGTATGGCCTTTTTTCTGAAGAATGTGGCATTCCATGGCATCCTGCTGGATGCTCTCTTTGAGGAAGGCAACGTGGAGTGGGATGAGGTATCCCAGTGTTTACATGAGGGCATTGTAACGGGTGTGGTTCAGCCCCTACAGACCACTGTATTTCAAAGGGAGGAAGTGGAACATGCATTCAGATACATGGCTCAGGGCAAGCACATCGGCAAGGTCCTGCTACAGGTTAGTTTGGTCTCTGACCTTCAGCAGACTTGGTGTGACTATATATTAACATGTAAATGCTAAATAAATAAACATACTAATTTATAATATCTACTGACTGTCTGCAGCTCTCTAACCGTATGTGTATGGTGTGTTTAGATCCGCTCTGAGGAAACTGGTGCAACCGTTCAGCCTGCTTCATCTCTGTCTCTTTCTGCTATTTGCCGCACCTTCTGCTTTGCTTCCCACTCCTACATCATCACTGGAGGACTTGGAGGGTTCGGTCTAGAGCTCACTCAGTGGCTGATTGAAAGAGGAGCCCGCAAACTGGTGCTGACTTCTAGATCAGGCATTCGGAACGGTAAGACTCAGAAACACGAGGTTTTAGAGAGAACACTTTTACATTTCAAAGGTTCACCATATTTGTGAGGTATTTGAAATGTGTAGTTAAAATGTGGTAGAGTTCCTTTTTACCCCTCCCTGGGCTGCCACCTTACCATGGTGGAGGGTTTTAAGTGTCCCAATGATGCATGTGTCCCATGGCAAACAGGTCCTCGTTGAGGGATCAGACAAAGAGCAGCCCAAAGACCCTTTATGATGAAAAATATACATGAAAACAGTGTTCCCTTGCCTGGACGCTGGTCACTGGGGCCCCCCTCTGGAGCCAGGCCTGGAAGTGGGGCTCGTTGGCAAGTGCCTGGTGGCTGGGCTTTTATCCATGGAGCCTGGCGGGGCACAGCCTGAAGAGGAAACGTGGGTCCCCCTTCCCATGGGCTTACCACTCGTGGGCCAAAGGGGTCAGGTTCAGTGTGTGACGGGTGGTAGTTAAGGGTGGGTAACCTTGGCGGTCTGATCCTCGGCTACAGAAGCTGGCTCTTGGCACATGGAATGTCACCTCTTTGGTGGGAAGGAGCCTGAGTTGGTGTGCAAGGTTGAGAGGTTCCGACTAGATAAAATAGGACTCACCTCAATGCATGGCTTTCCTTGAGAAGGGTTGGACACTCTACCACTCTGGAGGTGCTTACACTGAGACGCCAAGCAGGGCTGGACATACTAGTTGCCCCCCAACTTGGTGCCAGTACATTGGGGTTTACCTCGGTGAATGAGAGAGTAGCCTCCTTCCGCCTACGTGTGGGGGGACGGGTCCTGACTTATATCTTTGCTTATGCACCAAACTAAAGTTCAGACTACCCACCCTTTTTGTAGACCTTGGAGGAGGTGCTGGAGAACGCTCCTTCTGGTGACTCCCTTGTTCTGCTGGGGGTTTTAACGCTCACGTGGGCAACAACAGTGAGACCTGGAGAGGCGTGGTTGGGAGGAACGGCCCCCCGATCTGAATTCGAGTGGTGTTTTGTTATTGGACTTCTGTGCTAGTAATGGATTGTCCATAATGAACACCAGGTTCAAGCATGTGTCCGTATGTGCTGTTGGCACCAGGATACCTTAGGCTGCAGCTCGATGATCGACTTTGTTGTCGTTTCATCTACTTTGCGGCCACATGTCTTGGGCACTCAAGAGAAGGTGGAGCTGTCAACTGACCACTACCAGGTGATGAGTTGGCTTCGATGGTGGGGAAGGATGCCGGTCAGACCTGGCAGGCCCAAACGTGTTGTGAGGGTCTGCTGGGAATGTCTGGCAGAGTCTACTGTGAGAAGAAGCTTTTATTCCCACCTCCGACAGAACTTCCAAAATGTTGCAGGGGATTCCAGGGACATTAAGCCCTATTCCATGCTTCCATTGTTGAGGCGACCGACCAGCTGGTGGACACTGGCGGTTAGGGGCGCTTTCAAGCCGAAGAAATATTCCCATCAGGTCTTTTTGGCCTGTGGGGCTCTAGAAGCAGCTGTTAGGTACTGGCAGTTCAAGCAGAATGCGGCTTGGGTGGTCGTGGGGGCAAAAACCCAGGCATGGGAGGAGTTCGGTAAGACCATGGATCAAGACTTCCACACGGCTTCGAGGAGATTCTGGTCCACCATCCGGCGCCTCAGCACTACCAACACTGTTTTCGTGTGGACGGTTTGCTGCTGACCTCTACTTGGGTTGATGTGGATCGGTGGGCGGAATACTTTGAAGACCTCCTCAATTCCACTGGCACGTCTTTCAGTGAGGAAACAAAGCCAGGGGGACTTTGGGTTGGACTCTTCTATCTCTGGGGCTGAGGTCACTGAGGTTGTCAAAAAGCTCCAGGGGTGGATGAGATCTGCCTGGAGTTCTTTAAGGTTCTGGATGTCATAGGACTGTGTTGGCTGAAGCAGCTCTGCAATATTGCGTGGACATTAGGGGCAGTACCACTGGATTGGCAGACCGGGGTGGTGGCCCCCCATTTAAAAAAGGGGACCACAGGATGTTTTCCACCTACAGGGAAATCACACTTCTGAGCCACCCTGGTTAAGTCTACTCTGGAGTTCTGGAGAGGAGGGTCCGCAGATTGTTGAACCTTGGATTCAGGAGAAGCGATGATAAATGACCCGCACTTGTATAGTGCCTCTCAGAGTAAGGACTCCGAAGCGCTTTACACTACAGTGTATCATTCATCCATTCACACACACATTCACACACTGATGGTGATGAGCTACTATGTAGCCACAGCTGCCCTGGAGCGCACTGACAGAGGCGAGGCTGCCAATTACAGGTGCCACCGGTCCCTCCGAACACCACCAGCAGGCAAGGTGGGTTAAGTGTCTTGCCCAAGGACACAACAGCAGAGTTCTCTGTCCGGAGCCGGGATCGAACCTGCAACCTTCCGATTACTAGACAACCCGCTCAACCTGTTGAGCTACTTCTGCCTCAATGTGGTTTTTATCCTGGCCGTAGAACACTGGACCAGCTCTTTACCCCTTAGGGGTGTCCTGGAGGGTGCGTGGGAGTTCACCCAACCATTCTACATGTGTTTTGTGGATTTGGAGAAGGCATTAGACCACGCTCCTTGGGGGCCCTTCTGGAGGGTACTTTGGGTCCGCTTTGCCGGCAGTAAATCGAGCTTGTTACCAGTGAGAGTTGGACTCCGCCAAGGCTACCCTTTGTCACTGATTCTGTTCATAACTTTTATGGACAGAATTTCTAGGTGCAGCCAAAGTGTTGAGGGCATCCGTTTTGGTGGCCTGAGAATCAGGTCTCTGCTTTTTGCAGATTATGTTATCCTGTTGGCTTCATTAGAATGTGATCTCCAGCTTTTGCTGGAGCGGTTCGTAGTCGAGTGTGAAGCAGCTGGGGTGAGAATCAGCTCCTCAAAATCCGAGACCATGGTCTTGATTTGAAAAAGGGAATGCCTTCTCCAGGTCTGGGATGAGGTCCTTCCCCAAGTGGAGGAATTTAGGTATCTTGGGGTATTGTTCATGAGTGAGAGAAATCTGGAGCGCGAGAGCAATAGGCGGATTGGTGCTGCATCTGCAGTGATGCGGGCATTGTACCGGTCTGTCCTGGTGAAGAGAGAGCTGAGCCAGAAGTTGAAGCTCTCGATTTACTGGTCGAGCTACGTTCCTACCCTCACCTATGGTAACAAGCTTTGAGTAGTGACTGAAAGAGCGAGATCACGGAAACATGAAGGTGTTTTCTCCACAGGGTGGCTGGGCTTCCCCTTAGAGTCAGGGTGAAAAGCTCGGTCATCCGGGAGAGGCTCGGAGTAGGCCTGCTGCTCCTCCACATTGAGAGGAGCCATTTGAGGTGGCTCTCTGGTGAGGTTTTCCAGGTACGTCTAACCGAGAGGAGACCTAAAGGGAGACTCAGAACACGCTAGAAAGACTGGACTGGCCAGTCTCTGGACTGGTCAGGGAACACCTTGGGATTACCCCATGATCCCACTCCCGATAAGCGGAGGAAAATGAATGGATGGTTCCTTTTTAGTCATGATGGACTGATGGTCTGTCCTGATCCTGTCTAGCCCTATGTTAACTGTGGAAATTGATGTGTCTCAGAAGCATCTGGTGGGAAAAATAGAACCTTATCTTATCTTTAGCAGCGTGGCACAGTGCAGTGTGGCATGCGACTTCTGGGACACACCTGAAAATGTCAGCCTCTTACATCAACCTCCTACACTACAATGGATTCTATTTGAAGCTTCTTTCCGTGCTGCTGATTCCTCCCATGTGAGGTCGGGGTCATGACCCTCAGAAGAAAAACCTTTGTTGGATCGTGTATTTGCTCTCTGAGACATACCTTACACCATGTACCCCTTTGTGTTGTTCTTTCCTCAATCCCCATCACTCCTGGTTTTCACATCTTGTTCTTGTGCATCCCAAATCTTATCCTACATTGTAGGATATGATATGTAGGATAGGACATGTATCTCAACACATTCACGTGGACTGATCCACAGCCATGTGAATGTATAGAAGTATAGAAGATGATGTCAGCAGAAACTCGAGTTAATTTCTGAATGCTATTCACCAGAAAGTCCAGGCCTGTCTCTATTCCAATTTCATGGTTTTTCTGGGAGTACTGACAGAAACAGTACCACCACTCTCAATGTGGTTTTCCAGCTCTGTTCTAATAAAGGTCATGATGACCCTGGAGAACACAGTGAGGTAAGGGCCTTACACTGTTTGACCTTTTTTCAGGTTACCAGGCCAAACGGGTTCAGGAGTGGCAGAGTCAAGGTGTGGAGGTGTTGGTGTCCTTGAACGATGTCAGCTCTCTGAAGGGAGCAGAGCAGCTGATTACTGAGGCCTGTACATTGGGACCAGTGGGAGGAATCTTCCATCTTGCCATGGTAACGTACCTATAACCAACGTGCTTCTCTTACAATGTAAACATTCCTCCACATTAACCAGAGATCTTCTTGGTATTTGGTTACCTGGGTCAGCTCGGTGGTTTAAACTTTATTTGTGTTTCTCACAGATTAAAGCTACAATGACAAATCTGCAAATGATGTCAGCTAGCTTAGAACATTGTTTTCATGCCTCTTAACAACCTTTTGACATAGTAAAGCCATAAATATAACATTTGTCTAAAAACCTCTTCCAATAACATGGCTCGGACCAAGGCCAACTATTGGACCATCCAGTTGTCGGTCTCACTGGAACACCGCACTTCCCGGGGTCCTCCACTCATTACACACTCACGTATTTAGAAACAGACCTCCACTGGTGTGAGAGGTTCTCCGCTCAATAATATCAAAGAAGGAGAAACGGCCGGCTGCCACCACTTCTACTTAAGAACAAACTACCAAAATAGAAGCACCATTTGAAGTCACGGACAACAAAAGACGTTTGGACCTAGAAGTTGCGACTAGTTTATAGTGCCATCTTGTTTACTCTGGCAATGCGGGTTCTGGTATCCGGCGGGCATGGCCTGGAGATGACTCCCAACGGGGGGAGTGAGTCTTCCAAGACCGTGTTTCTTTAAAAGCTGGCTAGATTAGCAAATTTGTTCAGGCAGGTTTAAGTGAAACTTTCACTGGTTTTACTTTAGTTTGTTTGTGTCATCATCAGGTGCTGAAAGATGGCATGTTGGATAATTTGACCAGAGAACATTTTGTTGATGTTAGCAAACCAAAGTGTGATGGCACCATAAACCTGGACAAGTAAGACACACACACTTACTGCTGTGCGCACCTCTTTCAGCCCAGGCTACAACGGTTGCTGATTAGTTCAAGGCTTGGCTGTGGGGCTTATGGTGTAACTACAAACAAACTGGGAGAGTTGTAGAAGTATGTTTCTTGATAAATAACAACTTAATTAATTCCCAATTTATTACATTTTTTACTCATTTTATTCACAGTCTGGTCTCCAAAGCTGTCTCATATTTTCCCTTTTGTGACTCATAAACTAAACTCAAAAGGTTTCCAGACAGGTTTCAGAGTCTAGTACCAGTCTGGAACCCATCGATGCCCGTCGGGTTCCAGACTGGTATCGATGGGTTCAAATTCTAGTACCAGGGTGGTACTTGACTTGTTCCAGAAACTCATGGTCACTCTGACAATTTTGAGAGGAAATAGTTCTCTCAAGTCTTTGAAACATCTGAACATTCCAACAACTTGAGAACAAGGTCTGTAGACTCATCAGAAGACACCGGGAACCCTCATGAATATTTCTAGACCCTTTATAGTCTCTGCAAAGTTTGAAACTGGCTTCTGTTACACTAACGTTGAAATGTTCTAGTCTCCTTCATGTATGTTTTTTATTCGTGGTTGTTGTTTCTAGAGGACACTTATGATTGAAGTGGAATGTCTATTTTATTTCTCACCACAGAGTGACAAGAGGGTCCTGTCCAGACCTCACCTACTTTGTGGCCTTCTCCTCAGTCAGTTGTGGCCGTGGGAATGCCGGTCAGACTAACTATGGATATGCCAACTCAGCAATGGAACGTGTATGTGAGAAACGGCGCTCTGATGGGTTGCCTGGATTAGCGGTCCAGTGGGGGGCCATTGGGGATGTAGGTGTGGTGCTGGAGACAATGGGTGGAAACGACGTAGTCATTGGTGGTACCCTACCTCAACGCATCACATCCTGCCTGGAGGTCCTGGACTTCTTCTTGTCCCAGCAGCAACCTGTGATGTCTAGCTTTGTTTTGGCAGAGAGGACATTAGTGGTGAATGATGCAGAAAACCAGAAAGACTTGGTGGATGCTGTAGCTCACATTCTGGGTAAGACATGTGGAATTATCTGTGAACATGACCAACTGCGGGGGCTTTAAACTTATTAATATTCTCAGTGAATAGAAAATAAACGAGTCACTGGTTACCTGCTGGTCCTTTTAATGTAAAATAGATGACAGTTTTATGGTCATCATAATGAAGATCATGCTTATTTTCACCCACAGGTGTACAAGATGTGAGCAGTCTTAACGCTGATGCCTCATTAGCTGACTTGGGTCTAGACTCTTTGATGGGCGTGGAGATCCGCCAGACCCTAGAGAGAGACCATGACATTGTCATGGCCATGAAGGAGATCCGCCATCTCACAATTAACAAGCTGAGAGATTTGGCCAACAGCAAACCAGAAGGGTCAAACGGTAATAAAAGTCTTCAACCTACTACAAAAGTCCTGAAGAACTTTAAACGAGCCCAAATGCAGCAACAACTAAATATAATAATCTTAGCTGGAACGGAAATGGTGATGGGAGAGATGTATTCAAAGGGTTCAGATGAAGGCAACTGGACTTCTTTGGTTTCTTGAAGGTTTTTGTTTCTCATCTGAGGAGCTTTGTCACTTCTGACTGGAATAGGGGAGAGTCCAGCTTATAAGCTGTAGCGGTCTGTTGACCTTTTGCACGTGACGCCACGCTGCTCACAGAATCGCCCCCTTTTCCACGACGGTTGGCAAAAAGCTGTACACAGATTGAAACTCTTGTGAAACCAGTGAGAACAAGCCAGTGTGTAGCCATTTATTGCTCTTATTTGGTTGGTAAAATGGTAACAGTTTGTTGTTCGGTTGGCTGCACTAACAGACAAGGATGTAAGCTCAACCAGGTTTTTATTTGCAAAAACTCTGATGGAGACTGAGGAAGGAGATGGACCACGGGGATTTATCAAACTGACCAGCAGCCCTCAAAGTATCGTCGGATTTGCAGCAAACATGTTTTACTGGGTAAAAATAGCGTTCACGTGTTAGAAGACAGGGACAAATGTTTCTACTACTCATGGATAATCCTGATGGACGGAGGACGTGCACTACTCTCCAGTCCACTATAGTGAAATGTGAGGTACTTATTAACAATCATAATGTGTCAGTCTAGGGTTACGTGTGTTAGCATTTAGTATGTGTGTCGTCATTAAGAGGCACCTTGTCTCATCTGGGTGAGAGTAGCATGAGAGCCCGATGACCACACCAACAACAACGCTGGTAGAGATCCAGACTTGTTAAACGTTTTTAACGCCTTCGGTGTGAAGTGAGACGCTGTTTACAGCACGCTATAAATCCAGTGGGCTGAATTCTGGAAAAATCCACAACTAGTTTACATCGGTGAACTGCAGCAGGCTAACGTTCGTAAGCTAGTTAACGCGTAACTTTTGTAAATGCCGCTCTTTCTGAGCCCCACCTTGGTGCGCTACCTCTTCTGATGCTGAACAGGGGCCTCATTTATAAAGCTGCTTACGCAAAAACGGGGTCGGAAAGCTGCGTAAGCAACTTTCCACGCAAACTTTGGGATTTATGAAAGAAAACTTAGTGGAAAAAAGTGCGCAACTTTAAGTTGACTAAGGACCTGGCTTACGCACGTTTTGGACATGGAGAGCACCTGCAGGAACACATTCTCACACCCTAAGCATTGAAACATGACGCGCGGTGCCAGTGCGTTGGTTTCCGACGCCCGCGGTGAAACGGAGATTTGACCGAATTTTTACCTTTACCCTCTTGCTCTTTAACCTTCGCCTCACCCCCATCCTAACCGTATCAGCGTGAGCATGCAAAGCTTAGCGTCTCATCGTTCCTCTCAAACACGCTGACATACAGGGTTACGGTTAGGTTGGGCGTGAGGGGATGGTTAAATCGCTAGAGGTTAGAGGTGAAATGTTGGTGAAATCTCCGTTTTAACGCAGGTGTGGGAAAACTCACAGCACTGACAGATTCAGCAACGCTGTGCCGCTCTGTGGATTTTCTCTTGTTTTGCAAAAGCACTTCTTTTCATTTCTCCACCTCGCCCACACGTACCTCAATTTCTGCTTCGGTGAGAGTGCGCTTCCTTGATCTGCGGTCACCATTGTTAATGGTGGAGCGCTGCAATGAGCCAGCTCATGTATGTGCATGAGATCCACTAGGCACTTTAAACTGACCATCTACGGCAGGATGGGTGGGATGTGATCCACAAACACCTGAGCACATTTCTAGGTAGAGTGTAATTTATAAAGTGGAGATAGCGTGCAGCTGTGCGTACTCCATGTTTGATAGATCACAAACCTACTTGGCATAAGTACTTATTTTGCTGAGCTTAAGTACGGTTTTAGTAAGGATTCTACTCCATGTTGTAGAAATGAGACCCCTGGACTTGAACTAGTTGAAGAAATGCTACAGATGGCAAAAAACAACAAAAAACGTTCAGCCAATACTTTTCTGACTTGTGTTACTCACTGCTTACATGCATGTGCCAACCAGTAAGGGGGACCAACGTGATTAGGTGGCATGGGTGCAAAGGGCCAATTATTTCTTAACGAGCAGAAACTGCCAACTGTTTAGGGACGAGACTCAAAGCTGCATTTTAGGTACTGGAAAGGTGAAATTTAAGCCCCGCCCCTATTTAAAGTGTGTTTTTCACATTTGACAAGGATAGCTTCTTTCACTCCATCTATCTTCTCTGTCCAGAACGTGTCTTTTGTCCTTCAGGTGAAGGTGGACCTGAAGAGGTGGCTCTCCTGTGTTGTGCCATGCTCTTGTGTAATTGTCGTTGTGTAAACATCTGGGCAGTCCTCACTGCACTGGACTGCATAAACTGAGAATTTATCATTTATATAATAAATTATAAGAAGAATTTATTATGTCATTTGGGAGAGTTGTAGACTCTATGGTTACATGCTAGCTTGCTTAGCTGTTTATGAAGGTGTTAACATCTGGAACTGGTCCAGAGGGAGTTCTCATGGGAGGGTGTGGTACGCTGAATCCAGCTGGTTTTAATGGCTTTTCTTAACCGTTACCCCAGAATGTGATTTCAAAGAGAAAATCCAAAGAAATAAACATGAACCCAGGAAGACATGCTGGCACATGTTAGCTGCTGTACTCACAGGTTTATTATGATGAGGGCGGTTAAAGTTCTTTGGTACTTTGTAAAACCTGAAATAATCTGTTTTCTTGGTCCAAATCCAGAGTGTCACCAGACTTTAGCCAAGAGGGATGGTCTTCGCTCTGTGTTCAAGTTGGATGTGACCCAGTTATTAGTCAGCCCCACCGGTCCCACTGTGGTACCACTCAACAATGTCCAGCGCCAGGGGAGACCGCTGTTCCTGGTTCATCCCATCGAAGGCTCCACCGCTGTGTTTCAGACCCTTGCCTCCAAGCTGACCATGCCATGCTATGGCCTGCAGTGCACAGAAGGTAGCTCCATGATTTATATAACTAGGAAAGTGCACCAAAAACCTTCAGTAGCGACTCCTCGTGCTTCATTACTTGATGAATTTTCAACACTAGGGACTAGACTTTACAACTTTATTTTATCAGACCAGAGTTCAAGGTGTTTCGGCCTAAACAAGGACGCCACAGACCCTCTCCCCAGCCACTTGGGCCAGCTCCTCAAGGGGAATCCCAAGGTGTTCCCTGGCCAGCAGAGAGACGTAGCCCCTCCAATGGGGGAAACTCATTCCAGCCGCTTGCATCCACAGTCTCGTCCTTTCGGTCACTACCCAAAGCTCATGACCATAGGTGAGGGTAGGAACGTAGATCCACCGGTAAATCGAGAGCTTCGCCTTCTGACTCAGCTCTCTCTTCACCACGACAGACCGGTACAACGCCCGCATCACTGCAGACGCAGCACCAATCCACCTATCGATCTCACGCTCCAGGTTTCCCTCACTCCTGAACACGACCCCGAGATACTTAAACTCCTCCACTTGGGGCAGGACCTCATCCCTGACCCGGAGAAGGCATTCTACCCTTTTCTGATGCTATCTAAATCTAATCATTATTATTTACATTTTTTTCAAATGGTAAATGGTGGAAAACCCACACATGCCAGGGCCCTGCTGTGAAATGCGGGGCTCACGAGGCCCCCGCTTGGCGGGGCCACAGTGAGGATAAAATGTGTTTGGGCCAAGGTACTGCCACAGGGCACATGAGGGTGCCACAGTGATGGCCCACTTATGCGGGCCAAGTCTTGTTGGGCCCCTACCTGGCCCCGAATGATGGGGCCCGCGCACACCCAACATTTCACGATGGCTGTGGGTCCAACTGTGGGCAACCCTTCGTGGGCCACAGTTTTGCCCAGAGAGATCCCACATGGGGCATGCTTGCTGGGTCACCTCCTGAGCCAGGGCAGGTGGTCCAGCAGAGTGTTGACACAGCACCCTTCAGTATTTTATGTCAGGCATTGGAGGTCGAGGACCAGGAGGGAAGAGACTTTGGGGGCTGCTTCTTGAGGATTACGGGCTCCAGGCTCCTGCTGGATGCATCAGCTGGTTGTTCCCCAGCAAGCGGAGAGAAGCAGTTAGAAAGACTGAGGTCAGATGGGGGGGTGGGATCAACAGCAGAGGCTCTCTTTTGGGCACATACCACAACCTCCAAGGTAAACAAGGGTCAGGAGCGGAGCTGGAAGTTGGTAGTCGTGGTGCAGAAGGATCCCGAGTATCGGTGTCTTCTGCGTAGACGCTTCTTTTTCAGACTGACCGACAATGGCCTTGGTCAGTTAAGGGAGACGAGGTCTACAGCTATCCAGCAGCATTTCCTTCTTTTGCAGTTCAGCAGAGAGTCGCCGTACGTCCTCTTTAGGGGTCTGAATCCTTTTTTGTGCTTTAGAAAGCATCAAGGTGTCATGGTGGAGCAGAAGGAGAGGGAGGACAGTCATTCAAGGTGGCTTCAAGGCTACAGCAATCGTATACGGTAGCTGAAGAGCCTCTGTTGGATCCAAAAGATTTGTAGTCCAAGTAAAAATCATAAAGTACCAAAAATCATAGGAGTCAAAGGTCAGCAGAATCCAAGGGATCCAGCAATGAGTGAAAGGAAAGAACCGGGCCCTTGTTCATCGACTGTACTTACCACCAGATCTGTGCGTGGGATCGATTTTACACAATGTGTGTAATTTACCAATTTGTACTTGTGCTTGAAAATGTTCCTAAATATGAGAACAGCTCTGACCATGCGTGTGAACAGGAACTAGTGGTAGAACGGAGGAACCACAGTCCTGAAGGTCTAACCCCTTCTTTCCACCGGAGCCGTCAGCAGCACGTTACTGCAGCAGCACGTCTTGCTCGCGTAAGCTGCTGCTTGGCCCCTCCCACGAGACGCGAAGCAGCAGGGGAGCAGCTGTCACCGACCGAGCACGAAGTCACACGAGTGACTTCGTCAGTAAACACAACAACAAGCAGGAGAAAACTACAACATGGCTTGTGTTTTATGTTCTGTCCGTTTTATAATCGCCAATACGGACCTGAAAAACAAAGGAGACCGCTAGCTAGGTGATAACTTCTCACGGGGACGCACAGTTAGTAACCTTTTTTAAAAGTAAAGCAACCGGAAGGCAGTACATTCTTTATTCTGAAAATCTCGGGAGCTTCTCTCCATTTCCGCGTCAGATTTCCTGTCTTTCCTTCCCCAAAAATGTCGAACTTGACCCGTTTCAGAGGCGTCGCGCGTAGAAAATAGAACCGGCGCGTAAAGGCCGCGACATGCTGCTCCTGAGACGCGGCCGACTCGCGCTGCTGACGGCTCCGGTGGAAAGAAGGGGTAAGTCGTCCACGCATGTTCCTCATCCACAAAGTATTTACACAATAAATACTTAAGTCTGTGGAAAATATCTGTTTAGCTGAAATGGTGCTAAAATCTATGAAAGTGGCCGACAGGACGCTGACGTGCCGTGGCTGGTCTGTGTTGGAGGAGCGTGTTCTCTGGAGGGAACGTGTTCTCCGTGAGCGCTCTTCCGGCTCTGCTGGGATCTGGGACCCTTTGTAGAGCGACACACAAACCTCACCAATCCGATTCCCTTGAACCCCCCGATCATACACGCCTTGTTGCCATAGTAACCAGACTGGCTGACAGCTAAATGAGAACCCGTTACTCTACCCTTCATTCTTTTGTCCCTGACAGGAACCTCTCCTCGGTTCCGACAGCGTTCGTGACCGCTGCAGCTTGTGTGGTTGTTGCTTCGGCAGCCGGAGTCTCCATCTCGCTGTCAACGGTTAACGCTTATATTTTTGTGAAGTAGCCAGGGAGTTCCCTCACGTGCTGAGGATGTAGCGTGGGGTTTAGAAATATGGCTAACTGAGGTATGCTAATGACTGAGGAGGAGTATAGGACCGTTTCTATGAACGTTTGATAAATAATTAAATACTTAAAGCACAGAACATGCCTGCCATGTCTGCAGGATGTGATCCAGACTCACCCGAGCATACTTCTAAGAGGAGAACATAAAAACACCTAGTCAGGATCTATGTTGAAGGTATTTTGTATTTGTGGCTGTCAGTAGGTCCGATGTTCGTTCGTGAGAATTCCTCTCAAATGTTTATCCATTTACGTCAGACAGCCTCTGAAAACTCTCCACACTAAACATTTCCAATAGCAAAGTGCAGATCTTTGTAACTTCTGAATGTTTCTAGGTGTGTTTTCATTGGCTGGTGTCTGATGAGGGTTCTGTTTTCCAGCTGCGCCCCTTGACAGCATCCGGTCTCTGGCAGCCCACTATGTCACCTGCATCCAGCAGCTTCAGAGAGACGGGCCCTACAGGATCGGGGGCTACTCCTTTGGTGCCTGTGTGGCTTTTGAAATGTGCTCTCAACTTCAGATGCAGCATCAGCCAGTAGAGCGTCTGTTCCTGTTGGACGGGTCACACTCCTACGTGGCCGCATACACAAAGGTCAGGACACAACCGGACACGAGCCGGGCCTTTCAGCGGGACGCATGAGCGTGTTAGGCTGTACTCCGCCGTCGTTACAGTGGATGGGCGTGTTTCCACACGAAGCAGCCCGTTTAGGACACGTCCTGGGGCATAAGGATGCTGCTCACCTTTTTACCCGCTATGCTTCCAGACGGCATCAAACTCCGCAGTTCAGATTCAACTTGCAGACAGTTAGTCAAACACAAAAGCAGTGTAGAACATCTGGAAACTTTTAAAACCTTTCTCCCTTCTTTGTCACGCTCTGAGGATGTTAGGACCCAAATGTGCAGTAACCCAGGACGACACGAGGCAGAGACGATGAAAAACAAAATCCTTTATTCTTGAAGGAGGAACAAAAGTAGATCCAGGCAGCGAGCCTAAAGTCCAAAACTCCAAGGCTGGAGAAACAACGCTCACCACGAGCACGAGCAAACACCGACAGAATACACACACAACGGACCGACACCAGACAGAGACAGGACAGGGCTTAAATAACACGAAGGAGTCGATTAGGGAAACTGGCAGCAGGAGTGTGGAGTGAGGGCTGGAGGGAAGACGGGTGAATGTGATTATCAGAACGGGAAAACAGAATCTGAGGAGGCCAAATAACCTAAAAACGCTAAAACACAAAAACTAAACCTAAAGGCTGCGGGAAGGACTAACACACACACACACACACACACACACACACACACACACACACACGCACGCACGCGCACGCACGCACGCACACGCACGCACGCACGCACACACACACACACACACACACACACACACACACTGAGCAGGGGACTGAGAGGCTGGGCGCTACCAGGACACAGAATGTGAATAAGACCAGGAGGGGCTGGGGAGGAATACCTTTACAGGTCATAAGACACATAACTGAGACCAAGACCAGGACACATGAGGGCGCTGTGAGACACAGAAGGGAGGACACAGACGCAGACCATGACATTCTTGTGATCACACGGACGACTGGAACCCCGCGGGGCGTTGCGGTTATTCTGGTGTTTCGCGGGATTAGCTGCTGTTCCACAGCTTTAGCGCCCCGGTGCGACGGGAGCTCGCAGGTAAAGCGCTCCCGTTGCACCACAGGCTGTTTATGCGTCGGGTGGAAAGGCCGGGGCAGGAAGCCCTCGGTGGTAACAGGTTTTTGGGCCATCCAAGAACTTTTCTATTGAGAAAACAAAACTCTTTCATGTGAAACAACACCGAGGTGTTCAGGTCAGCGTTCAGCTGTGACAACCGGCAGATGGCCACTGTAGGCCCCAGACACCACACAAGGCTGTGCGCTTTACTCTGATCAAATGTAAGCCAAGCTCTGAAGGAGGACTTGATGGGACCAACGTGTCGTTGGTACAGGAACGATAACGGACGTGTCTTTGTCTTCCAGAGCTACCGGGCCAAGCTGACTCCAGGTAAAGAGTCTGAAGCTGAAACTGAGGCCCTGTGCGCCTTCGTCCAACAGTTTAGTGACACCGAATACAAAAAGGTACGAAACGTCTCCACACAGCCAACATTGTGTTGGTTTAGGACACGTGTGACGCGTTAGCCCCACCTCTCACTGGAGGCAGCGCTAACGCGTCACCGTATCCAAATCAGCTGATCAGCCAGTCATCGTTATGGTCCAGGACATCCTGTCTCCATCTGGATCCTGCTGCTCATCCATATGAATGAGTGTTTCCATCCCAGTTGTCATGGTTACTCATGAGAGGACAGACCAGCTGGCTTATTTAATATGCAGAATATTCATAACGGAGTTTGTGTAGGAGGTGGATGGGATCCAGAAACACCCGAGCTCGTTTCTAGGACCAAGCAGGAGCTGCTGGGTTCAGAGGTTAGGAGAGCGTTTTCATCTGAGCCCTAGTCCGGATCCTCCACAGGGCCCGGCTGTGAGAGGCTGCTGTGGAACGGGTGTGGGCGTTGGGATTTCCTTACTAATGCACAGTTATGTTTAAATACCGTCATTATTCAAGTTCAGCAGGTCAGAAATAGATTGTTTTTGTATTTTTCTATTGGAAATGCTCCTCTCGTGTCCTGTCAGAGCGTTTGGCTCATGTGGGAAATAATCTGTGGTTTGGTGTCTAAATCTGGAGATAAAGTTCTGTACTTGTGTTTGGAAGTAGCTGTTTGTTAAAGTAACTAAGTAATGTGGATGCACACAAGGGCTGAATGCTGATCGATGGTTTCATCTGATCCATCTGCAGCTTCTGGAGACCCTCCTTCCACTTTTGGACCTGAAGGCCCGAGTCCAGGCGGCGGTGGACCTCATAGCTTCCAAACATAAAAGCATCAGCCAGGATTTACTTTACTTTGCAGCCTCCAGCTTTTACCACAAGCTAAAGGCTGCTGACAGCTACGTACCCGGAGCTAAATACCGCGGCGACATCACACTCCTGAAGGCCAAACTCAGCAGCGAGCACGAGCAGAGCCTGGGAGAGGACTACAAGCTCCGAGAGGTGGGCTCCTGTTGGTGATCCAGTAACACACACACACACACACACACACGCACACACACACACACACACACACACACACACACACACACACACACACACACACACACGCACGTACGCACAAACAGAACGTTGTGATTCAGAAGTATTCTGTGAAATCTTTTATGTGAACTGGTTAAACTAGGGTGAGGGTGAGGGTGAGGGTGAGGGTGAGGGTTGGAGATCCTAACCCTCACCCTCACCTGTGCTCACCAGCTTTGGGTGGTGCCCTAAAGAAGGAGGTTGCAGATACAAACGGCTGAAACGAGTTTCCTCCCACTGGAGGGTCGGTGTCTCTCGGCTGGCCAGGGAACGTCGTGGGATTCTCCCGGAGCAGCTGGCCAACGTGGCTGGGGGGAGGGTGTGTGGTGTCCCGGTGTGGGCTGCTGCCTCCGCGACCCAACCCCAGACAAGCGGCCGAAAATAGATTGATGGATGGATTATACATCTCTGTCAGAAAGTTTGTGCTCACAGATGAATTAAAGGTTGAAAGTGGAACACAAACACCAGAGCGACATCTAGTGTGCGGAGGTTGTAGTTACAACAGTAGAACACGTTTCCCGCCATCTGGATAGCAGGGCTGCAGGTTTATTTGGGTCCATCTGTAGCAGGCTTCACCTAAACTCTCACTGGTTTAGATCTTTGGTGGTCGCTCCTCTTCTGGGGAGGATAACCACATCTCGTGCGCTCAAAAGCAGCTGCTTGACTTTCTGATTCCACAGGGCCAGCCTGGCGTGCCAAGGGGAGTGCTTGGCAACCACAATGCTGCCCTCTACTGGCTGGTAGATGCAAACAAAAACCCAGTGTTGTGCCCGTCAAAAGAATTTAGATTATTTTTAGGTGAGACTATATCTTTAAAAACATACTGTACGTTCATTCTGCACCTTCAACGCCCCACCAAGGCTTCATGTAGAAAACATCGTTCCATATTCACCCTTTCACATTTTCCTTTGAAACATCTCTGTTGCTATGCCAGCCTTCTAACCGGGTGTGTGCAGACTGAGACTTCATTCACTCCTCCGGTCGGGTCAGCTTTATTCTGTTGCACACTTCCTGTTGCTCACACAACCAAAGGGCTGTACATGACCATAGCACAATGGTGAAAATGAAGACCTGGTTTCTGTGGCATTGAAAAGACGGGCGTCCCGACGGAGCACAAGCCCATTCTGATGCTAACCCTCCACGATAAGGGTCCCTGTATTAACGTTACTTAGTGCATTATTAACCGTTAATACATCATTAAATAATGTGTCAACAATTGCCTTCATGCATTAAATGGCATTACCAAGCATATTATTTAATGCGTTATTAGACAGTTAACTAATGTCCATTACTGAACCTAAGGGTCCAGAATTCATTCAGTAATGGTTACCTATGGTTAAGTACTGCTTAGGAGTCTAGTAAGCATTTAGAAAGTGCTTCCGAAGGGGATCAATGTTTTTACCTTACCCAAGGTCAGGTAAGGGCCTCCTGATGACATTCACAGTACAGCATTAGTAAGACATTAATTAAATGTTTATTAATACCCTTCCAAAGTACAGGGTAGGATAATTAGTTACTTACTCGCTGCAAATTCACAACCATAATAATTGATTACCTGAATAACTACTAAGGGCTAATTAACACATTAACTAACATGGTAATTAACACACATGGTGCAAAGTCATTAAATAATGCAGTTGCTGTTTAAAGCTTAGAACTGCATTAACTAAGCTTCAGTAATAGACTTTCATGTTAGTTAACTGCTTAATGATGCGTTATAGAACGTTTAGTAATGCTATGTAATGCATAAAAGCTGTTGATAACACTTTATTTAATGGGCTATTAATACTTAATAATGCACTAAGTCATGTTAATAAAGGGACTCTTATTGTAAAGTGTTACCATAAAATGATGGTGTGTTTCCACCTGAAGAAACTGAAACGTGGAGATTCCTCCAAATGAAGTAAACAGAGGTTGAGGCTAAACTCTGAAAGAGGTGTCCTCTTCAGACCACCGTCAGCTGAGACCATGCTCGGATGGGAATCTTCTCCTGGTGCTTTTTCTAATGTCTGTGATGTAACGTCTGTGATGTAACGTCTGTGATGTAACGTCTGTGATGTAACGTCTGTGATGTAACGTCTGTGATGTAACGTCTGTGATGTAACGTCTGTGATGTAACGTCTGTGATGTAACGTCTGTGATGTAACGTCTGTGCAGCTGCATGAGTCATGGGCTGATAAATGAACCAGTCGCCCATGAAAGGCTCGTCCAATCGCCCCATCCTGTTCTCCATTCTGATTAAACGTCCCTGTGAGCTGACTAACATCCGCACACTTAAAATGTGAGTCAAGGCGTGGGTGGAGACGTATCTGATCCACACTTCCTGTTAAGAGAACGCTTCTGAAGGAGGCGTGGCCTGGCGGACCGAGAGAGCGGCACTGAGGCAGTGGTAGACCCCCCCCCCCCCCCCGCGCATGTGCTGTCGGGGTTTTTAAGTCTAAAAACGAGTTGTTAACGTGCTCACTCGCGCGTGCACGCAAGCACACACGCACAGTAGACTTACCGCTCAGGAGAAGAGCAGACACAGAGTCTGCAGCATCCTGGAGGATTTCGGGTTAACCGCGACCATTACATGAACAGGCGAGCGGCTCAGAGCGCCATCGTGTCATATCGGCAGGTGAGTGGCTGAGCCAGGTGGAGGGGCAGCTGCCTCACCTGGCTCAGCCACTCACCTGCCTAAAAGTCAGCCCAGTGAATTGGCCACCCGATAAACCGTAGGCCCCCCTAATCGTTACACCGTGAAGTTTCCCAGCATACCCAGTAAGTGCTGCCACCTGACCAACCTGAGAATCAGGTTCACGTTTAAACCGGTTTCTGTCTCTGTCCAGGTTTGTGATGGCCACGTGTCGGTCCACATCATCGAGGGAGACCACCACACCCTGCTGGAAGCAGAGGGAGTGGCATCCATCAGCAGCATCATCCATGACTCTCTGTCATGTGACCCGCCTCCCACCCATGACTAGCACCACAGTGGCACCGGGACGTCCTGCAGACATGTTGTCCAGTCAGATGGACGCTGTAGGTCAGGGCAAGAAGCAAGTCCTCACTGGGAGCAGCAGTAGCTCCTCAGCAGCCACTGGAGCTAAATAAGCTGCTGACATCTTTTTCTCGCTAAAGTTCAACAAGCACTGTGTTCATTAGGCCTCAAATGTTTGTCATGTATCATGTCTGAGTGTGTGTGTGTGTTAGAACATCTGAACCAGCTTTAGCCACACTAGCTTTTCTCCGCTGCATCACGTCTCCACCTGGAGGCTTCATCCCACACGTCCATCTAAAGTCTGACCAGACAATGGAAGTGCTGTCTGAGGCTGCTGACCTATGAAGACAGCATGGTTCTGGACCCTGGTCAGAAGACACCACACCTGCAGTCAGGAGTCACCCCAAGTCACCAGGTCCAGGTCCTACTCAAACGGTGTAAGATGTTGGAAAGCCTGAGCAGTCCTCTTTCATCTGAGCCTGTAAGGATCGAACATTCGTAGACTGACCAACACAGCTAACATCCATTGTGTTCCATGTGTCAGGACCAGTGATGAATCCCTGTCATCCCCAAATGATCAGAAAAGCTGAGTAAACACAGTTGTTAGTTCAGGTCCATGTCCTGGTAGATTAGCAGGTGTAGCAGATTATAACCTAATCTGCTTTCTGCTGCCCCCCTTAGTCCTGATGATTCTGTTTGTTCTCCACCAGACCTCAGAGGCATTCACACCAGACCTCAGAGGCATTCACACCAGACCTCAGAGGCATTCACACCAGACCTCAGAGGCATTCACACCAGACCTCAGAGGCATTCACACCAGACCTCAGAGGCATTCACACCAGACCTCAGAGGCATTCACACCAGACCTCAGAGGCATTCACACCAGACCTCAGAGGCATTCACACCAGACCTCAGAGGCCTTCACACCAGACCTCAGAGGCATTCACACCAGACCTCAGAGGCCTTCACACCAGACCTCAGAGGCATTCACACCAGACCTCAGAGGCCTTCACACCAGACCTCAGAGGCATTCACACCAGACCTCAGAGGCATTCACACCAGACCTCAGAGGCCTTCACACCAGACCTCAGAGGCCTTCACACCAGACCTCAGAGGCCTTCACACCAGACCTCAGAGGCCTTCACACCAGACCTCAGAGGCCTTCACACCAGACCTCAGAGGCCTTCACACCAGACCTCAGAGGCCTTCACACCAGACCTCAGAGGCCTTCACACCAGACCTCAGAGGCCTTCACACCAGACCTCAGAGGCATTCACACCAGACCTCAGAGGCATTCACACCAGACCTCAGAGGCATTCACACCAGACCTCAGAGGCCTTCACACCAGACCTCAGAGGCATTCACACATCAGGTGAACAGGTCCGGAGGGCTGAATACAAATGCACACCACACCTTTCACCTTTTTATTAATGAATCAGTTTCATCCACCTCACAGCTACTTTGTGCTGGTCTGTCACTGATAAACACTTAATAATACAACGAAGATGCAATGAAAACATCAGGGGTATCTAGGTGCTGCAGTCATGCAATAGTACCACAGGGTTCTGTCCTTGGCTTCTGTGCTGTTCTCAGTAAACCTTTTGGTTTAATGTTCTGATCACTTGGTCAGTTGATAGATGTTCCTTATTCTACAGATGCATGATCCTTGTAAGCTCCGCCTCAGAAGGATCAGGCTTAACCAGAAAAAATACACCTGTTGATTTATTAAAGGGGAGAAATGATTGACTGCAGTAACGTGTCTGACCTGTACAGATGGAGGGTTGGGCCTATTGCTTCCCCATCGTCGTGTTCCTCTCAGCTGTTGCTGGTTCTCAGACAGAAAACGTTTGACTTATTTGTATGTTGTGATCTACTGAGACCGACTGAACTGAAGTGTGCATAATAAACTGGTCTGAATCTGACTGCTGTGGGTGTTTTGTATGAACCAGACGAGTCTAAATCAAATAAAACCTGCTGATCAAAACACAAACGGTTGTTTACTAAATGTTCTTCTGAACAGAAAATGGGTTTAAAACCCGATTAAAAGAGACACCAGTTAAAAATGTCATCATCACGAGTAGGTTATCACTCAATCACAGCTGTACTGCTGAAACACACACACACACACACACACACACACACACACACACACACCATTAACCAATCTTCAACAATTATTCAGAAGGATGAGCCGTGGCTGGTAGAGGTTCTGTTCCAGCCCAGAGGTCTACTGGCGGGTTGATCTGGTGCCTGGAGGTAGGATCAGCTGTTCCATCACCACAGCAAGAATGTGACACAACTCTTTAGCCTGAAACAGTCACACATCGGTTTAGGCATGAATGGATGTTTGTGGTTCTAGAAAAACGATGAAAGCATGAATGAGGCGATTGCCACCAGATCTGGGGCCTACCTGCTGGAGATGGAGAGTGACTTTTAGTGGTTTCACAGGGTTTCCGTAGGTAATGTCCACGCCTGGGACTTGGCCTTGTTTCTTAGGGTGGATGGTGCGCATAGACTGAACTTCCTCCAGAGGAATCCTAAACACTTGTTCCTGCAACAGTTCAGAATGCTTGCTTAGTATGAGGTCTGCTGTAAAGACTCACACTAGTCAGTGACTCGATGCAACCTGCTGGGTTCCTCGTAAAGGAAACGTTTTACTGACTGGCTTAATGACCTGACCTATGATGGACTGTGTGAAGGTCCTTGAGACGACTCTGGTCCTGACTTGGCGCTATAGAAACAAACTTGGATGGAACTGAACAGACGTGAACCAGCTAACACACCACTCCTGGTCTCTGTTGTCAGCCGGGCTGTAACCCAACACCTGCTCTAACTGGTTCAGAGGAACCAAACACCTTCATCAGGAGAAACAGGCTACAGCACACCAGCAACCAGTGAGACCATGTTCTAACCTCCACACGAGGTGCCAACGTGAGTCAACCAGGACCTAAAGCTGCCTTTACTTTTGCGTTCCCACTTGAACCGTGAACATTTAAATGCATCATTCGTCACACACGGTCTAGTCTCACCAACACTCGTGTGTGTGTGTGTGTGTGTGTGTGTGTGTGTGTGTGTGTGTGTGTGTGTGTGTGTGTGTCAGAAGGCTGAACAATAACCTGTAGAATAATTAAAGTCATCATGCTAGAGAAGCTTCTCTGTGGTGGACCACACCAGCTTCTGCCACAATAAATAATAATAATAATAATAATAAATAACATTTTAATTTCCTTTCTGAACTATTTCTGTTGAGTTTTAATGTTTAAACCTGTTAGCTTGTTACTGACAGCAGCTACGGTTAAGCTTCACTTCCTGTTGTGACTGAATGCTGCTGCAGCATGGAGGTGTAGTTCTCAGTCATCCTGGACATGATCATCCTGAGAGTGTCAGCTGGAAACAGCTGGACGTGTCTGGATATGTTGGAGACGTTTAGCCTCTCATCCCAGAGGCTGCTTCCACACTTTGGTCGTGGTCAGAAACAAACACACTGGTTGTGCTGCAAGTCGTCTTCTTTTGTCTCCAAAACATGTTTTAGTCTAAATGAAGGTGATGTTGTTGTTCATAGAGTTAAAATTCATGTTGAAGTTAAGATTATTTCATCAAGTAGGACCAGCTGGCTCATGTAAAACATGTCATGTCTTGAAAGAATCAGAATCGGGAATCGATAGGAACCAGAATTGAAACAAGGAATTGGAATCGTTCAAAATTAAACGATGCCCAACCCTACTAATGATGCTTTTCTAGGAGTACTACAGCGTGGTTTGAGTCGGCCCATCTGAGTGTAGTTTTGTTCCCAAGCCAGCTCCATGATAAAAAGTGGGTGCGCCCCTCATAGGTGCAAAGGGTGGTGGTGGGGTTGTGATTTTTACTCATGACAAAATAACATGAGGTAATCAGTAAATGGAGTACGGTAACCTGTACACTCCACAGAAACACAACTCAGCTGAAAAATGGTGGTGTTGCCGGACATTCTGCTCAGCTTAGTGGCTTTTTGTCAGACTCTGAACCAGAAAATGGCTGCAGGCAGCTAAACAGAAGGCAGAAAACTTTGGAACAACCAGTGACGCGGCCCCCTAGCCAATCAGTGGCCAGAATCACGATGCCGGCCCGACTCAGCCTTGCCAGGAACCTCAATGGAGCAGGGACTAAAAATAGGGGAGAAAGTAGAGGGAAGATATGGAACCGTGCCCTTGGGAACAGTGGTCAGGCCGAGCTGCATCGGTCCGAGTTGCTCTGAGCAGTGTTTCTGGAAAAACACCTTGTGGGGCCCAAAGTGTGCCAGGAAAAAGTCCCCACATTACACCACCACCACCATCCTGGACCGTTGATACAAGGCAGGATGGATCCATGACACCAACGTCAACATGCTGAAATGCATTGAGTTGTCAGCATGTGATTGGCTGATTAGTAATTTGCGTTAACGAGCAGTTGGACAGGTGTACCCAATAAAGTGGCCAGTGAGTGTACGCATATAAATTTAAAGAAAGGAAACTATCGTTTTTATGTAAATTTTTATTGCGCCTCTCAAGAAAAAAATCACGAGGTGCTTCACAAAAAAATAAAACAAAAAAGATATTTTTTAAAATCATTACAAAATGTGTTGACAATGACAAAAAAATAAATGTGATTAAAAAAATATACGGGAAGGGCAGAGAAAGTGAACAGGAAGGTGGGAAATCAGTGGATCCCGGGAAAGGCAAATCTGGTATTAAGAGCAGAACAAGGAGAGGGTGGTGATGGAGGTCCCACCAACGCCTGAACAGGTGAGGTTAAAGGAGGTGATTAATTTTTCTTTTCATTTCAATCACTAAAGACAATTTGCCCCAATTTTAATTTACTGACAATAATGTTAGTGAGGCACAGACGACACTCCCACACTTTAATGGCGATATTTCTGTCTATTGGGTCACTTTGGTCTCATTATAAAGGAAACCATTGCGGGATTCCTTGGGATGTGTAATTGTTGGTGTACGCGTTTTGATGAGCTATAAGTAGACATGGAACCGTTTAAATGTGGACTGAACTAAACACTAAGTGGAAGCAGAGCGCTGCTAATGGAGGTGTAGTGAAGAGATCAGGGGAAGTTCTGCTGAGTGTGACGAGATGAATGCTGTGTGTAAGCTTGTCCCTCCTGATGTAATACAGTTCATTTAGACGTACTTGTAGGCTTCGTTGTGTGTGGAGCAGGTAAAAAAGGATGGACTCTATTAAAGTATCCTGCCTTCTGTTGCAGTGACCGGCTGGGCGGCCCCAAACAATCACACACAGAAAGGTTTTATCAGCAGTTGAACATAAACTCAGAGCGATCGATTGCTCAGGCCGTTACTTTCACATGTCTTCAAATTACTGATTGGTGCAATAACTTTGTCGCACAACAGCACATCTGGGAATCAAACTATAAACCGCACAGCAGTGAACCAAGCCGAGGCGCAGCTGTCGGGGTTTTTTAAAACAGGAGTTCTGATTGGCTCATTCCAGCGGGGCTCGGCCGACAGGTGGGCTGATCTGTGTTTGATATGTCCGGAGGTTAATTAAATGTTCCCCCTAAATCTGGAAACGACAGCTACCCATCCCTGCACACCACATGTGCCGCTTTCATTGCTAGTATGATTATTGCCATCCTATAGGCTCCATCTGAGATGTTTGTACAGGTTTTTATTTGCTCATTCCAGTGCAGTGCCACTGGAAAACAAAGCTGAAGTTGGTTCCCGCTTTTGAAAAGGCAATTCCACCGCTATGTTCAGCTCCCAAAGCATCTTTAATGTACTCCTTTAGTAAAACTGCAACACCTAGACTAGATTATTCCACACCAGTGGTACTCAATAGGTGGCCCGCAAGCCCTCTCTTTGTGGCCCCCAGACCACGAGCACCCCTGCGGACCAGAGCTTTAAAGAGTGAGGCCAACTCACTTACACCCCCAAATCCCCCCAGATTGGACCACAACATCATAGGGATTTTTAATGTAGCCCTCGGCCCCCGTTCTAACAGCCCGTTCCATGAAACCTTTATCTGATTTGTGAAAATTCAAAAAATGGCCCATTTGTGTATTTTGTAGCATCTAGACCGGGGGTCGGCAACCCGCGGCTCTGGAGCCGCATGCGGCTCTTCCATCCATCTGATGTGGCTCTCTGTGCTTGTAAAATAATGAATGGATATTTAAATAAAATGCTTTATATTTTACTGCATTAATTTTACATCTGTATGCCAATTCTATGTAAAGATTGTCTGCGTAAACCTGAACAGGTCCAACCCGGTCTTACTGTGAGACCGGGTTGACGCGTCACGCTTGTGCGTAATCATATCGGCACTTCCTGAGCTGAAGAGGATGTGAGATTCTAGGATTCTCCTCAGACGGCTCCTGGATGTGTCGCCACATTGGAGACAGGAACAAGCGCTATTCAGCCAAAGTTTCATCATCAGGGAACATTTTCTAAGTGACATGTCTCTCTGAGAGACAGGGTTTGGAAAACTCTCGCTTCAGTCGGAGGAATCTTCCTGCATGCGCCCTGGTTCTGCGATGCGCTCCAAGCCCCTCTCCACATCTTCAGCTCGCTGTGCACCTTATGTACGCGCTGACAGCGAGCTGCGCTGAGCAGTGTCCAGCTCAGATGCTCAGATGGGAATCTTTTCTTGAGTGATTTAGCTACATCTGCGATGTGCGTAGAATAAAGTGTCAGCTCGTCTGCATGCGTCGGGTAATTCTTTCTATTCTTTCTCCGTCAAAATAAACGGTCAAATACGGGAACTGTCCGGTCAACACAAGCCCTGCTTTTAACTGTTCTGTTTTTTGTGAAAATAGATCAAATTAAACTTGATTACCACCAGAGCCAGGAGCACTGCGCCGGTATCTCCGTCACTGTAAATGAGGGAAAAACAAAATGATCGAATCCTTTTCTGACCTTCCCCACCTACAAAGTTTAATTACAACAATCAAACGTGACAGAGCCTGGATTTGTATTCTGAACAGTCTAAACATGTTTTAAAAAGAAACGTATGACAAAAGTGGCGCCTGCTCAGTAAAACCACCAACAGGGTGAAAAATATCTAAATATTGTCGGCAGAGACGGGCTACAACTTCTGGATCCACTTTATATAAATCCTTTTATTGATTATCTTCTTATGAAAGATAACTTTGACGTACACGAGCGACCGGTACCGGCTGCTGTCACATGTTGTGATCGGTCAAAGCAGCGCTCTGCTATCTGAGGGTAGGCCCCGCCCACAACGCCGCAGCTGCTGTGGCTCCCAGTGTTTTCTTTACTGTGGGAAACGGGTAATAATGGCTCTTTGATGGGACCAGGTTGCCGACCCCTGACCTAGACCATTCGGGAACAGGTCCAGATGAGAAACTTCAACACCTACTCTCTTCAAACTGGGACTAGATTATTTTAGACTAATCGTGAAAAATGACCTGGCTCTTTTGATCTTATTCAGTTCAATGGCTAACTTATGATCTCCTGTTACAGTTGACTGCTGTTCTGGTTAGTTCTGGTTCTGTGCAGTGCCGGTCCAGTTGATTGTGTTGCAGCAGTCTGTCCTCCTGATGAGCTGCTG